CATATGTCTTTCCAAATCAGGGATTTTGTTTTTTTTGGGGGGGTAAATTACTGGGTCAAATGGTATTTCTATTTTTAGTTTTTTGAGGAACCTCCATACTGTGTTCCATAGCAATTGCGCCAATTTACATTCCCACCAAAGTGTAGGAGGGTTCTCCTTTCTCCACATCCTCAGCAGCATTTGTTGTTTCTTGTCTTCAGATAGTGGCCATCCTGACTGGTGTGAGGTGATACCTTAGTGTGATTTTAATTTGCACTTCTACCAGAAATGGCTCCTCAGCGGCACCTGACTGCCCGCGAGGTCACATCTTTCTTGTGCTTATTAGCCTGTTTTTTTCCCAGAGGGGAAGGGACCACACCCTGTTAGGCAGGAAAATAGATATGAGTGGGATGGGAAGAGAATAAGGTCAGGAAAAAGCCCACTAAAAATGACCCAGAGTGGATCAGTGAAAGCTCAAAAAGCCTGGAGCAACTTGGCCTGGAATGTTTGAATATTCCCCAGAGAAAGGAGAGTACCTCAGCATAGCCCATGGCTTTATTGTGTTAATCATGCAGGCCCAGCTTATTTTTTTTACTTAACTTACATGCTGTTTTTTTTTTTTTTTTCTCCTTTGGCCCTAATCAAGTAGTTTGCAATCTGGGCGATTAATAATGGCAAGCCAGCCCAGCATAAACAACATAGTCACAGGCAGGAAGGATTTCATCTTAAAAGTAAGATTGTGTTTTAATATCCAGGAAGTTAAGAAGTGAGATTCTTAACTTACTCTTTAGCAAACAGACAATAACTCAGCCCACCTTGGGGGCTGGGCAGGCAGTCTTGTTTGATATGCTCCCAGACCAAGAAGGCTTGGCTCCCAGGGAGAAATCACAGCAGGAAGTTGCTTGTGTTAAGTTAGTTCTAAGTATTATTCAAAGACCACTGAACAGGTCTGCAACCCCAGCCCTTAGTCACATTCCTGAAGAATCCTTAAAAGGGGGAACCCCCAAGCTCTCAGGACGCTCCTCTCCGAGATCGCCTGCACTTTCTAAGTGCAAAACCTTTTCACTTTAAACTTTCTTTTCAACCTTTCAGGGTGCTGTCTCTCTCTGAAGTTGCCTGCACTTTTTCTGTAAGTACTTTAAATAAAACTTTTCCTCTGCTTCACTACTGTGTCTCTGCCTTTTGATTCTTTTTTGTGGTGGGGACAAGGACCAGGGAAAATAGACAGTGCTACCCCAACAACCCCACCCCATCTTCAAGTAATATGCAGGTCACCCTGACTAGAGAGACTTGTGGCTTACCAAAGGTTCCAGGTCCAGCAAAGCCCTGGGCAGGTGCTGAGGACACCACAAAGGAGAGGCTGCTGCCCGATGCACCTACTCCAGGGGTGTTCTGACCAAAGGTGGGTGTGAATGTGCCTAGAATGGAGAGACTGCAAAGAACTGGAAACTAGGCCCAAAAGCAAAAGGTGTCAAGCAGGTGGTAATGGACTGGGGGGAGGCCTGCTTGCAAACGCATCCCCACAGGATCCCTTAGCCCACACCGCTATCGACCTCACCCCTTGGTAAGGAAGCACACGGGGTGACTGGGTCCTAACCCCTGTGCTCCAGGTGAGCCTGCCCCACCACCACCACTGCAGCAGAGCCTGAGCTGTTGGCCACCTGAGGAGAACCTTTGCACTCCCTTGGGTACCACAACACAGCTGAGGGGGACACTGAGTGGACCTCTCGTCTCTCAGGACTAACATTATGTCTCCTCCCCATTTGCCTGCCCCCTCTCCTCTACTTCACTGCAGGCCCACCCCACAGTCAGCCCCCATCCTCCCACAGGCCCACTCCAACTCTGTCTCCTGCACATGCTTACCCTCATGGAGCCTCCTGCCCAGTGCTGGGCTACCCTCCACAGCGGCTCTCTGGGAAGGTCCTCTCACATGTAACTGTATCTGTCTAGGCCTGAGGTGGGGAGGGTGCCCCCCGAGGTGCTGACCTTGCACGTACTCTTCCCCCACACCCAACCTCTGGGGGTCACACCTTATCACAACTCGGAACTGCTCTTGCCCCCAGATCTCGGCTGTGAGCACAGTGCTGTCCCTGCTCCCATGCCAACCCCACCCACTCCGGATCTGCTGCCTCATCAGGGCCTGTAGTCAGCCCCCTGCCCCTCCTGCTCCCTGTGCCACTTAACCAGGTTGGGTTTACTCTCTATCCACTGATTTTAGGTCCACACCTCAAGACTGAATGTTGCTGGGCAGACACAACTGTGCTGACTGGCCTTGCTTCAAATTCCTAACCACAATTTCCCAGACTTCAGAACTGCCTGGCATGGCTCTCACACGTCGTTTTCTCCCCCTCTCCAAAATGACTACTGAGAGGCCCTCCTTGGTACACATCTCCCCCTAACCCACACCAAGGAGCTCTTACATTCAGTGAGGAAAATGGAAGCTACCAGGGCCCAAAGTACTCATCATGCATCTTCCACATGGCAAATAAAATCACTTCCTTCTGCCTGAAATTCTATAGTGACTTCCATTAGTACTTTAAGAAAAACATTTTAAAAGGCCATGAAAGATCTTCCTTTCTGCTGTCTATTAATGTCACTTTATCCCACTTTCCTTTTTAAACCTCTGGCCACAGTTGGTTCTTCTCTGCTCATGAAAACATTACACTCGTGTCTGCCTTTGGGCCTTTGCTCCTGTGCCTGCAACGTCCTCACCCCCAGCCGCTCCCAACTCTGGAACTATGGCCATGGCCTCCATTTTCTATTGTCTCAGAAAGGCTGCCGCTGACTACCTAAATAGCTCCTCCGGTCATGAGTTATACCGCTACCTGAAACTGTTTACAGATAACATCTGTGATAACATCTCTCTCTTCACCACAGCATACAGCTCCTAGACCGTGTCGGCACTTAAAACAGCACCTGGCACTGCAGACCGAGCTGGTGCAGTGTTTGACAAGGTCCAGGCACGAGGAGGAATCCTGAAAACAGGAAACCTCATAGCTGGCCCCTGCTAATTCCCGCACTTATTTTTGCAGTTATGATGTTGGTGATTGGGCTCATATATGGGAAATATTCATCTTTAGTAAATAACATAACCCAAAATATTGATCAAAGCAGGAATTCCGGAAATGAAAGCAGTGTTATGGGACCAACTGTTCCAGGCAGACTGCCGCAAATAAGTGAGGCAGAACAGCCCAGGCCTCTCTTAGAACTAGATGCAGTTTGTCCTCCCCTTTGTAACAATTCAAACATGACTAACCGGGATTTTTTTAGAATATTGGCAGAGAAGGAGTTATGGGAACCTAGGCCATGGAAAGACCCATTCTCCCAAGAAACTTATATGAAACAGCAAAGTAATAAAGATGAATAGTCCTCACTGCCCAGGGCCCCCCTTATGTTGCTTATAATATTAGAAGACACCTCTGATAACCCCCTCATAGAAAGAATTTATGAACAAAATAAAATTTATATTGACAAATACCCCATATATAAAAGTTTATGATAAATTTATAAAATATTACTATATTAATAGTAAGGTAGTAAGAGCAGATTTAGTGTTATTATATAAAGGATAAAGAGGACTGCAAGGCCCTGGTGCCTGTAGATGCAGGAGGAAAGGTGTAAACATCTGAAATTGTGGAATGAATATTATAAAAGAATAAGGTGTTTTTATTGTATTCATAGGAATGTTAAGGAATGGGTGATAGGAGTACCATCCCTAGATTTTAGATGTAAGGTTCAACCCACATGTAGGATAGGATTTAATTAATAATATAGTTAGACTTAATAACCAAAAGACATATAGCTTGCATTTTATATAACCTGCTTAAACTTTATATAGCCTTAGACACATACCTTAGACACATATCTAAAAGTCTATATAATCTTACATGCTTAAAGTAAAAATCATAGCCCACACGCTTAACCCACATGCTGTCTTACGCCATTTTCTGTTTAACACCTAGCACGTAGCTTACATGAATTACTAATCACAATAGACTAGGGGAAAGTTAAAAATTAAATGTTAAATGGCTACTATTAGAAGAAATAATGATATTTACTTAAGGGTAATAAGCTGAAATTATGTAAACTGACAGAAAAAGGAATGTTTTATTCATAATTTTAAAAAATGTTCAACATTATGAAAACCATAAAAAGATACAAAAATAAAGACCCTGCCACTTGATGTCAGGAGATGTTACAACTTTAATTGGGTGTTTCGTCTCCTCATTCATCTCATTCGCTGACGCTGTCCTTTCCTTCGTGACCCACACCTCAGCTGGAGCTGGACTCCGGCACCGACCCCATTCCAAACCTGATGTGCAAACACAGACGTGTTCTGAGGCATGCTGGCCACGTGGAAGGCAAAGGGTGTGCTCTGGCCAGCTGCACCCAGGTAGTTCTTACTCAAGCCACCCCAGAAAGGGGCCGTGACACCAGTGCTCCCACTCTGTACTCCCCAAAGTTGAATTCCCCAGCTGTGGAGCTGCTGTGGGGGACAGCCACGCTCATCCCAAAGCCCCAACTGTGAACAGGGCCTGCTGACACCCCAGACATGAAGGGTGATGAGGTGCTGCTCCCAAACACTGAACTACTGGTCCCACTGCTGGTGGTGTGGGTCGTAGCTCCAAAACCCGAGGTGGTGGCTGCAAAAAAGGAGGAAACGATATCATCTTACTCCAGTAAGAATTGCTACCATCCAAAAGACAAACAACAACAAATGTTGGCGAGTTTGCAGACAAAGGGGAAGCCTCCTACACTGCTGGTGGGAATGTAAATTAGATCAACCATTGTGGAAAGCAGTATGGAGGTTCCTCAAAAAACTCAAAATAGAAATACAACTTGACCCAGGAACTCCACTTCTAGAAATTTACCCTAAGAATATAGCAGCCCAGTTTGAAAAAGCCAGATGCACCCCTATGTTTATGGCAGTACAATTTACAATAGCCAAGAAATGGAAGCAACGTAAGGGTCCATCAGTAGATGAATGGATAAAGATGTGGTACATATACACAATGGAATATTATTCACCCAAAAGAAGAAAACAAATCCTACCATTTGCAACAACATGGATGGAGCTAGAGGGTACTATGCTCAGTGAAATAAGCCAGGTAGAGAAAGAGAAGTACCAAATGATTTCACTCATATGCAGAGTATAAGAACAAAGAAAAACTGAAGGAAGAAAAGAGCAGCAGAATTACAGAACCCAAAAATGAACTAACAGTTACGAAAGGAAAGGGACTGAGGAAGATGGGTGGGAAGGGAGGGAAAAGGGTTGGGAAAAAGAAAGGCGGCCTTATGATTAGCATGTATAATGTGGAGGGGTGGCATGGGAAGGGCTGAGCAACACAGAGAGGACAAGTAGTGATTCTACAGTACCTTACTACACTGATGGACAGTGACTCTAATAGGGTATGGTGGGGCATTCGGTGAAGGGGGAAGCCTAGTAAACATGATGTTCTGCATGTAATGGTAGACTGATACCAAAAAAAAATACACTTTAAAAGGCCATGAATGATCTATCTTTCTGCCTGTCTCTTAATGTCATTTTATCCCACTTTCCTTTTTAAACCTCTAGTCACACGTGGCTCTTCTCTGCTCATGAAAACATGAGCTCATCTCTGCCTCTGGGCCTTTACTCCTGTGCCTGCAACACACTCACCCCCAGCCGCTGTCCCTACTTCCAACTCTGGAACTGTGGCCATGGCCTCTGTTTGCTATTGTGTCAGAAAGGCTGCTGCTGACTACCTAAGTAGCTCCTCCAGTCATGAGTTACACTGCTACCTGATGCTGTTCACAGATAACATCTGTGATAACATCTGTCTCTTCACCATAGCGTACAGCTCCGAGAGCAGAGACTTCGTCGGCACTTAAAACAACACCTGGCACTGGAGACCGAGCCGATTCCAAATCTTACCTGCAAACACAGATGTGTTCTGAGGGGTGCTGGCCACATGACAGACAGAGGGTGTGCTCTGGCCAGCAGCACCCAGGGAGTTCTAAATCAAGCCTCCTTTGAAAGGGGCTGTACCACCAGTTTTCCCACTCCGCCTTGCTGCAAAGTGGAATGTCCTGGTGGTGGAGTTGCTGTGGGGGGCAGCCATGATCATCCCAAAGCCCCCACTGCCAGTGGGGCCTGCTGGCACCCCGGACGTGAAGGGTGATGAGGTGGTACTGCCATACACTAAGCAACTGGTCCTGCTGCTGGTGATCTGGGTCCTAGCTCCAAAGCCCGATGTGGTGGCTGCAAAAGAGGAGGAAATATGGATCATTGTCTAACACCATACACAAAAGTATATTCGAAGTGGATCACAGACCTGAATGTAAGTCATGAGACCATAAAAGTCTTAGACAAAAACAGGCAAAAATCTCTTGGACATAAACATGAGTGACTTCTTCATGAATGTATCTGCCCAGGCAAGGGGAAAAAAAGCAAAAATGAACAAATGGGACTATATGAAGCATAAAAGCTTCTGTACAGTAAAGAACACCATCAACAGAACAAAAGGACATCCTACAGTATGGGAGAATATATTCATAAATGACAGATCCGATAAAGGGTTGACATCCAAAATATATAAAGAGCTAACACAGCTCAAAAAATAAAAGGCAAATAATCCAATTAAAAAATGGGCAGGGGAGCTAAACAGGCAGTTCTCCAAAGATTAAATTCAGATGGCCAACAGACACATGAAAAGATGCGCCGCATCGCTTGTCATCAGAGAAATGCAAATAAAACCACAATGAGATATCACCTCACACCAGTAAGGATCACCACCATCCAAAACACAAACAACAACAAATGTTGGCGAGGCTGTGGAGAAAGGGGAACCTTCCTATGATGTTCCTGGGAATGTAAAATAGTTCAACCATTGTGGAAAGCAATATGGAAGTTCCTCAAAAAGCTCAAAATAGAATACCATTTGACCCAGGAATTCCACACCTAGGAATTTACTCTTAAGAATACAGAAGCCCAGTGTGAAAAAGACAGATGTACCCCTATGTTTATCGCAGCACTATTTAAAACAGCCAAGAAATGGAAACAACCTACATGTCCATCAGTAGATGAATGGATAAAAAAGATGTGATACATATGCACAATGGAATATAATTTAGCCATAAGAAGAAAAAAAATTCCACCATTTGCAACAACATGGATGAAGCTAGAGGGTATTATGCTCAGTGAACTAAGTGAGGTGGAGAAAGACAAGTACCAAATGATTTCACTCATCTCTGGAGTATAAGAACAAAGGAAAAACTGAAGGAACAAAACAGCAGCAGAATCACACAACCCAAGAGTGGACTAACAGTCACCAAAGGAAAAGGGACTGAGGAGGATGGGTGGGAAGGGAGGGATGAGAGCAGGGAAAAAGAAAGTGGGCATTATGATTGGTACTTACAATGTGCGGGGACACGGGGAGGGCTAGGCTACACAGAGAAGACAAGTAGTGATTTTACAGCATCTTACTATGCTGATGGACAGTGACTGTAATGGGGTATGTGTGTGGTACTTGGTGAAGGAGGGAGCCTAGTAAACATAATGTTCTTCAGGTAATTGTAGATTGATACCAAAAAAAAAAATTTTAAAGGCTGTGAATAATCTCCCTTCTATGTGTCTCTTAATGTCATTTTATCCCACGTTCCTTTCTAAACGTTTGGCTCACTGGCTCTTCTCTGCTCATGAAAACATAAGCTTGTCTCTGCCTTTGGACCTTTGCTACAGTGCCTGCAACATTCTGAACCCCAGCCACTGTCCCTGCTCCCAGCTCTGGAATTGCATTGCCTCAGTTTTCTACTGTCTGGGAAAGGCTGCTGCTGACTACCTAAATAGTGCCTCCGGTCATGAGTTACACTGCTACCGGATGCTGTTTATGGATAAATTCTGTGATAACATCTAAATCTTCACCACAGCGTACAGCTCCAAAAGCAGAGACTGTGTCAGCACTTAAAACAGTGCTTTGCACTGCAGACCAAGTCCACTCCAAATCTTACCTGCAATCCCAGACGTGTTCTGAGGCATGCTGGCCATGTGGAAGGTAGAGGGTGTGCTGTGGCCAGCTGCAAACAGGCAGTTCTGATTCAACCCTCCCCACAAAAGGTTCTTGAGACCAGTTCTCCCACTCTGTCCTGACCCAAAGCCGAATGTCCCAGTGGTGGAGCTGCTGTGGGGGGCAGCCATGCTCATCCGAAAGCCCCCACTGCCAGCAGGACCTGCTCACACTCTGGATGTGAAGGGTGATGAGGTGGGCCGCCAAAGACTGAGCTACTGGTCCCACTGCTGGTGGTCAGGGTCATAGCTCCAAAGGCCGATGTGATGGCTGCAAAAAAGGAGGAAACATAGATCACTGTCTAATCCCATATACAAAAGTAAATTCAAAATGGATCAAAGACCTGAAAGTAAGTCATGAAACCAGGCAAAAATCTCTTGGACATAAACATGAGCGACTTCTTCATGAACATATCTACCCAGGCAAGGGAAACAAAAGGAAAAATGAACAGATGGAACTATATTAAGCTTAAAAGCTTCTGTACAGTAAAGAACACCATCAACAGAACAGAAGGACATCCTACAGTAAGGGAGAACATATTCATAAAAGATCTGATAAAGGGTTTACATCCAAAATATATAAAGAGCTAACACAGCTCAACAAACAAAAAGCAAATAATCCAACTAAAAAATGGGCAGGGGAGCTGAACAGACAGTTCTCCAAAGAAGAAATTCAGATGGCCAATAGACACATGAAAAGATGCGCCATGTGGCATGTCATCAGAGAAATGCAAATTAAAACCACAATGAGATATCACCTCACACCAGTAAGGATCACTACCATCCAAAACACAAACAACAAATCTTGGCAAGGCTGTGGAGAAAGGGGAACCCTCCTACGATGTTCATGGGAATGTAAAATCATTCAACCATTGTGGAAAGCTATATGGAAGTTCTTCAAAAAGCCCAAAATAGAAATACCTTTTGACCCAGGAATTCCACTTCTAGGAATTTACCCTAAGAATACAGCAGCCCATTTTGAAAATGACACATGCACCCCTATGTTTATTGCAGCACTATTTACAACAGCCAAGAAGTGGAAACAACCTACATGTCCATCAGTAGATGAATGGATAAAAAAGATGTGATACATATGCACAATGGAATATAATTCAGCCATAAGAAGAAAACAAATCCTACCATTTGCAACAACATGGATGGAGCTAGAGGGTATTATGCTCAGTGAAATAAGGGAGGTGGAGAAAGACAAGTACCAAATAATTTCACTCATCTCTGGAGTAGAAGAACAAAGGAAAAACAGAAGTAATAAAACAGCAGCAGAATCACAGAACCCAAGAATGGACTAACAGTTACAAAGGGAAAGGGACTGAGGAGGATGGGTGGGAAGGGAGAGAGAAGGGCAGGGAAAAAGAAAGGGGGCATTAGGATTAGCATGTATAATGTGGTGGGGCATGGGGAGGGCTAGGCTACACAGAAAAGACAAGTAGTGATTCTACACCATTTCACTATGCTGACAGACAGTGACTCTAATGGGGTTTCTGCGGGGTATTTGGTGAAGGCAGGAGCCAAATAAACATAATGTTCTTATGGTAATTGTAGATTGATACCAAAAAAAATTTTTTTTATGCCGGGAATGATCTTCCTTTCTGCTTGTCTCTCAATGTCATTTTATCTCACTTTCCTTTTTAAACCTCTAGCCATACCTGGCTCTTGTCTGCTCATGAACACATAAGCTTGTCTCTGCCTTTGGGCCTTTGCTCCTGTGCCTACAAGGTTCTGACCCCCAGCCGCTGTCCCTGCTACCAACTCTGGAACTGCGGCCATGGCCTCTGTTTTCTACTATCACTGAAAGGCTGCCACTGTCTACCTAAATAGCTCCTCCGGTCATGAGTTACACTGCTACCTGATGCTGTTTATGGATAACTTCTGTGATAACATCTAAATCTTCACCACAGTGTACAGCTCCAGAAGGAGAGACTGTGTCAGCACTTAAAACAGCGCCTTGCACTGCAGACCGAGTCCATTCCAAATCTCACCTGCAATCCCAGCCGTGTCCTGAGGCATGCTGGCCATGTGGAAGGTAGAGGGTGTGCTCTGGCCAACTGCACCCAGGGAGTTCAGATTCAACCCTCCCCAGAAAGGGTTCCTGAGACCAGTTCTCCCACTACGTCCTGACCCAATGCCGAATGTCCCAGTGGTGGAGCCACTGTGTGGGCCAGCCATGCTCATTGTAAAGCCACCACTGCCAGTGGGACCTGCTGACACCCTGGATGTGAAGGGCAATGAGGTGGTGCCGCCAAAGACTGAGCTACTGGTGCTGCTGCTGGTGGTCAGGGTCATAGCTCTAAAGGCCAAGGTGATGGCTGCAAGAAAGGAGGAAACATGGATCATTGTTGAACCCCATACACTAAAGTAAATTTGAAATGGATCAAAGACTTGAATGTAAGTCATGAAACCATAACACTCTTAGACAAAAACAGGCAAAAATCTCTTGGACATAAACATCAGTGACTTCTTCATGAACGTATCTCCCCAGGCAAGGGAAACAAAAACAAAAATGAACAAATGGAACTACATCAAGCTTAAAAGCTTCAGTACAGTAAAGGACACCACCAACAGAACAAAAGGACATCCTACAGTATGGGAGAATATATTCATAAATGACAGAACTCATAAAGTGTTGACAACCAAAATATATAAAGAGTTAACACAGCCCAACAAACAAAAACCAAATAATCTAATTAAAAAATGGGTGGTGGAGCTGAACAGATTGTTCTCCAAAGAAGAATTTCTGGTGGCCAATAGACATATGAAAAGATGTGCCACATTGTTTGTCATCAGAGAAACGCAAATTAAAACCACAATGAGATATCACCTCACACCAGTAAGGATCGCTGCCATCAAAAACACAAACAACAACAAATGTTGGCGAGGATATGGAGAAAGGGGAAACCTCCTACACTGCTGGTGGGAATGTAAAACAGTTCAACCATTGTGGAAAGCAATATGGAAGTTCCTCAAAAAGCTCAAAACCATTTCACCCACTCCTAGGAATTCCACTCCTAGGAATTTACTCTAGGAATACAGCAGCCCAGTTTGAAAAAGACATATGCAACCCTATTATTATGGCAGCACTATTTACAACAGCCAACAAATGGAAACAACCTACATGTCCATCAGTAGATGAATGGATAAAAAAGATGTGATGCATATGCCCAATGGAACATAATTCAGCCATAAGAAGAAAACAAATCCTACCATTTACAACTACATGGATGGAGCTACAGGGTACTATGCTCAGTGAAATAAGCCAAGTGGAGAAAGACAACTATCAAATGATTTCACTCAAATTTGGAGCATAAAAACAAACCAAATTTAGGGAAGAAAAGAGCAGTAGAACCACAGAACACAAAAATGAACTAACAGTTACAAAAGGGAAAGGGACTGAGGAGGATGGGTGGGAAAGGAGGAATAAGGCTTCAGAAAAAGAAACGGGGCCTTATGACTGCCATGTATAATTTGGTGGGGGAGCACAGGAAGGTCTGAGCAACACAGAGGGGACAAGTAGTGATTCTACAGTACCTCACTACACTGACGGTCAGTGACTGTAATGGGGTATGGAGGGGCATTTGGTGAAGGGGGAAGCCTAGTAAACATGATGTTCTGCATGTAATGGTAGACTGATACCAAAAAAAAAATACATTTTAAAAGGCCATGAATTATCTTCCTTTCTGCCTGTACTTAATGTCATTTTATCCCACTTTCCTTTTTAAACCTCTAGTCACACGTGGCTCTTCTCTGCTCATGAAAACATGAGCTCATCGCTGCCTTCGGGCCTTTACTCCTGTGCCTGTAACACACTCACACACAACTGTGGTCCCTGCTCCCAACTCTGGAACTGCGGCCATGGCCTCAGTTTGCTGTTGTGTCAGAAAGGCTGCCGCTGACTACCTAAATAGCTCCTCCGGTCATGAGTTACAGTGCTAATGGATAAGCTGTTAATGGATAACGTCTGCGATGACATCTAAATCTTCACCACAGCGTACAGCTCCAAAAGCAGAGACTGTGTCAGCACTTAAAACAGTGCCTTGCACTGCAGACCGAGTCCATTCCAAATCTCAACTGCAATCCCAGACGTGTCCTGAGGCGTGCTGGCTATGTGGAAGGTAGAGGGTGTGCTCTGGCCAGCTGCAGCCAAGGAGTTTGGATTCAACGCTCCCCAGAAAGGGTTCTTGAGTCCAGTTCTCCCACTCCATCCTGACCCAGCGCCGAATGCCCCAGTGGTGGAGGTGCAGTGGGGGGCAGCCATGCTCCTCCCAAAGCCCCCACTGCCAGTGGGGCCTGCTGACACCCTGGATGTGAAGGGCGATGAGATGGTGCTGCCAAACACTGATGTATTGGTCCTGCAGCTGGTGGTCTCGGTCACGCCTCCAAAGCCCAAGGTGATGGCTACAAAAAAGGAGGAAACATGGATCATTGTCTAGCCCCATACACAAAAGTAAATTCAAAATGGATCAAACCCCTGAATGTAAGACATGAAACCATAAAACTCATAGCCAAAGACAGGCAAAAATCTCTTTGACAAAAACATGAGTGACTTCTCCATGAATACATCTCCCCAGGCAAGGGAAAGAAAAGCAAAAATGAACAAATGGGATGATATCAAGCTTAAAAGCTTCTGTACAGTAAAGGGCACCATCAACAGAACAAAAGGGCATCCTACAGTATGGGAGAATATATTCATAAATGACAGATCCAATAAAGGGTTGACATCCAAAATATATAAAGAGCTAACACACCTCAACAAACCATAAGCAAATATTCCAATAAAAAAATGGGCAGGGGAGCTGAACAGGCAGTTCTCCAATGAAGAAATTCACATGGCAAATAGATACATGAAAAGATGTGCCACATCAGAAGAAATTCACATGGCAAATAGATACATGAAAAGATGTGCCACATCACTTGTCATCAGAGAAATGCAAACTAAAACCACAATGAGATATCACCTCACACCAGTAAGGATCACCACGATCCAAAAGAACCCTCCTACACTGTTGGTGGGAATGTTAATTCATTCAACCATTGTGCAAAGCAATATGGAGGTTCCTCAAAAAGCTCAAAATAGAAATACCATTTGACCCAAGAATACCGGTCCTGGAATTTACCCTAAGAATACAGCAGCCCATTTTGAAAAAGACAGACGTACCCCTATGTTTATCGCAGCACTATTTACAACAGCCAAGAAATGGAAATAGCCTACATGTCCATCAGTAGATGAATGTATGCACAATGGAATATAATTCAGCCATAATAAGAAAATAAATCCTACCATTTGCAACAACATGAATGGAGCTAGAGGGTATTATGCTCAGTGAAATAAGCGAGGCGGAGAAAGACAAGTACCAAATGATTTGACTCATCTCTGGAGTATAAAGAGCAAAGGAAAAACTGAGGGATCAAAACAGCAGCAGAATAACAGAACCCAGGAATGGACTAACAGTTACAAAGGGAAAGGGACGGAGGAGGATGGGTGGGAAGGGAGAGAGAAGGGCAGGGAAAATGAAAGGGGGCCTTATGATTAGCATGTATAATGTGGTGGGGTGGCACGGGAAGGGCTGAGCAACACAGAGAGGACAAGTAGTTATTCTACAGTACCTCACTACACTGACGGTCAGTGACTGTAATGGGGTATGGGGGGCATTTGGTGAAGGGGGAAGCCTAGTAAACATGATGTTCTGCATGTAATGGTAGACTGATAGCAAAAAAAAAAAAAATACATTTTAAAAGGCCATGAATGATCTTCCTTTCTGCCTCTCTCTTAATGTCATTTTATCCCACTTTCCTTTTTAAACCTCTAGCCACACCTGGCTCTTCTCTGCTCATGAAAACATGAGCTAATCTCTGCCTTCGTGCCATTACTCCTGTGCCTGCAACACACTCACACCCAACCGCGGTCCCTGCTCCCAACTCTGGAACTGTGTCCATGGCCTCAGTTTGCTATTGTGTCAGAAAGGCTGCCACTGACTACCTAAATAGCACCTCCGGTCATGAGCTACAGTGCTACCGGACACTGTTTATGGATAACTTCTGTGATAACATCCAAATCTTCACCACAGCGTACAGTTCCAAAAGCAGAGACTGTGTCAGCACTTAAAACAGCGCCTTGCACTGCAGACCGAGTCCATTCCAAATCTCAACTGCAATCCCAGACGTGTCCTGAGGTGTGCTGGCCATGTGGAAGGTAGAGGGTGTGCTCTGGCCAGCTGCAGCCAGGGAGTTTGGATTCAACGCTCCCCAGAAAGGGTTCTTGAGACCAGATCTCCCACTCCGTCCTGACCCAACACCGAATGCCCCAGTGGTGGAGGTGCAGTGGGGGGCAGCCATGCTCCTCCCAAAGCCCCCACTGCCAGTGGGGCCTGCTGACACCCTGGATGTGAAGGGCGATGAGATGGTGCTGCCAAACACTGATGTATTGGTCCTGCAGCTGGTGGTCTCGGTCACG